ATTAATGACTAGTCCCTAAGTCGAGTTTAAATCTTGATAAGGCATCCTCAACCTTATGAAGTATAGTAAGCCATTTACATCATCACATCATCATGATCAGTTCAGGTATGTGAATTCGTCAAACTCGCCATAAAAAATTCAGTGATAAACTGATAGTTTGAATTTTACATACTTAGTTATAACCATTACCGCACGCACAAAATACTGAAGAAAACAGCATGTGATCCTTTTACAAAATTTGAATAAAGACGTGACAACTGTCATTGTTATCACAAAGAGCGACTTGCGTTATTACAAAGTGGGACAGTTTCTTAATTACATAGTGCGATAATTGTTATTATAAGCCGTGACATTTTTAATTAGGGTGTGCGACAAGTTTTATTGCAAAGTGTGACAGCTTTTCATAACAAAGTACGAGAAATACTACAAAGTGAGGCGATCATTATAAAGATCGACAGAACATACAGCTGCAGCACAAATGACCTGGACTTACGTTTTAAACACTGTCGAAAATGTCAAAAAGCTGTACCACGCTTCCTTATTAATTCACGGTTTATTCAATTGATTTAAAGATTCTTTTCAACGTTTCAGTTAACTTAGAACTCGGTACCCTTTTTTCCCTTCACGATAGAAGTCAACGACAGCTTTCAGACGCTCCTAGTAGGGTGATTAGGTCGAACGGTGGGGATTGCGCGGTGTGACGTGGCGTGGTCAGATGCAAGTTATCGATGAAGAAAGCTATTTTTAGGTAATGAAATATTAATTTAATGCATTTCTAAACTCCCAATTCAGGCGATGCGATCAACAATGAAAATGGCGAAAAGTGAATGTAATTTGGAAACAAAGTGATTACCAGTCCGAAAATTCTTGAGATCCAGAACTGTTCGTGGCAAGTGGGTGAAAAAGCGGCTGTTTGGTTGATTAAGTGAAACAAATAAGCAAAAGAATTAACGTGTACAGGCATATTCCCTCTTAACGAGCGCAACTGCAAATTACATACACGGAATTAAAATCGATTGCAAAGCGAGGAGAATTTGCTTGTGGTTTTAGTATGCTTTGTGCTGACCAAAAACGTCACAAGTTCCTAAAATTCGTTTTATAACTCCCAGAACATGTAGGAAGAGGGAGACAAAGTCTTCTCTTTTCACTGTGCAGATGTAACGAATTCCTCAAAGAAAACACAAATCAGCGAGTTAAGCATTAATTTCGTCTTTCGTCACCAACCGGCACCGTGTTTTTCTTCTGCTTTTTGAAGTTTCTTCTGCTTTTTCACCTGGCAGGTGAAAAAGCAGAAGAAAAATAATAAGCAATTTAAAAAAATAATTTACAGCAGGAAAGACGCAGCGTCTTTTCCAAAAAGCCGAGGATTGACAGCCCTTCGCCAGAGGCATATCAGCGGCAACCAGAACATAAAAAGAAAAGATTCTTACAACTGAAAATGAACAACTCCACGACAAATCTTCAAATCGGCCAATCAGAGTGTTTTTCTGCTGTCCCTTCTACCGTCTTCACACTCGCTCTTTCATTGATCACTATTACAGCAGTTGCAGGAAACTTCCTCCTGATTGCAGCCTTCCTCAGAACTTCAAACCTAAAAACAAGCTCTAATTGGTACATTATCAACATGGCCATTTCGGATGTGGTAAGCGTGCTCCTTAATTGGCCGCTCTATGTCACAGAAGGGATGTTAAAGCCTGGAGGAAGCTTAATTACTAATCAAGCAATCGCTACCTTTTTCTGCAAGTTGGGGATTTATTCTAGAGCTGTATTGTACGTGGTGTCGATTGAGAGCTTGGTGTTAATATCTTTGGATAGATTCATTGCAATTGTGTTTCCACTGAAGGCCATAAAGATCACTACCAGGGTTCGGAGAATTCTTCTTCTTTTGAGCTGGCTTTTTCCTGTGTTATGTGCCATACCGTACTTTTATCATTCTAAAATCGTACTCGAGGGGAGACAAACATTTTGTACAAACTTTATGAGCATGTTACTTTTTAAAGTGTATAATTTCATAAGTTTCATTTTATTATATTTCATACCTCTGGTTGTACTATTAGTTGTTCATTCTATTGGTTTTAAGCATCTAAAGAGGCGACTTGTGTTTCAAATCAGCAGTAACGAAGGCAACACACGTACACGGAGATCCAAAGAAAACCAGAACATTTTGAAAATCTTTCGAGCGGTGACTTTGGGATTTTTCATGTGCTGGACGCCTCTTTATATTTATTTGATTCTAAAATCGTCACATCCAACAATTTTTTTGGATGACACATGTCTTCTATTTATTGGTTTGTTATACTATACATTTCCGTTGATCAGTACAGCCATCAACCCATTTATTCTGATAACACTTAGTTCTAATTATCGTGCAGCCGTTAAAGACCTGCTCGCTAAATGTTTCGCTGTCTTTAAGTGTCGCATCAACAAAATTCATACTACAGAACAAGTAATAGACCTTCGATGATAGATAAATATAAATTCGAAGGTAATTTGATGCGTTCTTGAACGGGAAAGGGTTTTGTTAAGTAAACGATAATAGCATTAATGATAAAATAGCAGACATGTTTTGCGCCTGGGAGCTTCGCTATTAACTTGGAGCTCATGTGCACGAGCGAATCCCTATACTTAAGAACATTTGGTCACGGCCGAAACTAAAATTATCATAAATAGGCGATGCATTATGTTAAATAAAGCGTAGGATATCAAACAAATAGCTGACTATCTTGTTATTTTTTGATAAAAACTCGCACGTGTATTCTTAAATAGCGCAAGTAAGCATTTAGTCAAAGAAGGTGACAGGATGGAGGCCGCCATTGTGTTTTCAACAACCTCTTAGGAACAAGTACGAACGTTTGAACAATAAAATTTACGCTGCAATATATATTGGATATTGTTCAAGAGTTAAAAGGGGAAATTGCCGTTCTGAGAGAGAAAGTTAAAAGTTTGGAAGAAACCATTGAGAAGGTGGCCTTGAAGGCGAACGACAACGAGCAGTATTCTCG